AGGCACTAAAGAATGGCAGAGGCGAGGGATCCTGTCCCATGGAAATGTGTCATGAAGGCAGTTCTATTAACATCTTAATAAAGGCTTCCCAGGCCCTGGAGAGCCCTCGTGAGCAGCCTGACTTCGACGCTCACATAGGGGCCCAAAGCCGCTCTTGCAGCATGTCAACGAGAGAACATTTAAGTTCTGCCAGTATTGCATTGTGAGGGTGTTAGGCTTCCCAAAGGAGTAGCATAAATGCCTACCCACAAACATGCTCCACTAAATTCCTTTATTCCCCTTTCCCTCTACTTTCATTTACTGTCCATTTCTCCATCTGTTGGATTTAGTGGCCCTACAAAAGGCTTTGTTTCAGCAAGCTGGCAAGCCTTTGGGACAGCAGAGTGCACACTGGGGTTCATTGCTAACTTGCTGCCATCAATAGAGAGAGCAGGATCTGGACTGGCCACGGTTGCACCAGGCAGAGGGACGACTGTTAACGTTCCCTGTTGGTCCTCTGATGGGACTGGCTGGAGTCTGTCTGGGAGCTTGTGGACACACACGCGGCCTTCTTCTTGCAGAAAAAAAAAAAAAAAAAAAACAGCCAGCAGCCTGACAGGGATGGGGAGAAACAAACTCTCTCAACAGGCCCATCACAGGAAAAAAAATCCCTGCATGACAACCACTACAGCAGAGAAGGTGGCATTTTTTCTTTCAAGTACTCACAGTTTTAAAAAGAAAAAAAAAAGCTACAGTCTCACCGTGTACCATGAAAAATGAAATGCAGAGTGGCATTGATTTTTGCACTCTGTGCTATGTGTTGCTCATACTGGGCAAGCTGCTACTTAACAATGTAGTGGCCTGTAGTCATCAATTTAAAATGGTTTCAACGATTCAATAAGTCACTGAAGGCTACACGCACAACTACTCAAGATGATGAAAACAGCTACAGCGGCATGACTAGACCATTAAATGTAGCCCTGTGGTGTTTTCTAACATCTGCTATTGTGTGAGAAATTTCAAAGAGGAATGCTGCATGTATGTAAGATGTATGGCGATGTATGAGATGATGTATGTGTGTTTTAAACCTCAACGAGAGGATATGCGTGAAGGAGAGCTGCTTGGGATGGAGCCAATTAACTCACACTTGGATGCACTCTTTGGCACAAAGCAGAAGGACAGATTGAGCGTTGAATGATCAAGGCAGCATTTTAACCGAATGTATCTGAACACAGCCACAGGGTATTAACTAGCACTTTCTTGGGCTAAGTAAAAGAAAAATCGGATTTTTCTAAGAGAGAGATCCAACGCTTATTTATACATTGGAGAGGTTCTGAAAATCTATTTGCTCTGCCTTCTAACATATGTTCTATTACTATCATGTAACATTGTGGAAACTCTCCAATGTCAATTCCCAAATTTGGCTTGACACCTGCCCAATAGCTGAGGATCACAAGTACTGCATTGAAGTTTGGCGTCATTTTATATCGCATGTGAAGAGCCAGGCTTTTCAGATCCCACACTCCTGAATCAACACACAAAGGCCTTAAAAGAGCGTTTGTTAGAATAATCATCGCCTAGAGAAACCGATCTCTGCTGCGGAATCTGCTGCTTGAAGCATCAGAGACAGGTAGAAAACCCATGTTGTTTACAATTATTATCCAGAGGAGAGACAGCGGGCACAGAAGATGTAAATTGAGCAGCCCGCCTGAGTGGATGAAGAGAAAAAGAGGTGGCTGTGATCTTCTGCTTTTTTCACCGAAGCCAAACCCTCTCCTCAGACTAAATGTTCTCCCTGGCTGCACTCCACTTGATCACTGTCACCACAGATCCAGATCTCCGCAGTGTCAATTCTCACGCGCGCACACTCACCATAAATACAGATTCCAGACACAAACATGTGCATAACAAGGCTGAGTGAGTGGAGCGTGTGTGGGTCAAGGAGATTGAGATCTCTGTTGTGACAGCTGGACAGTTGAGAGGTTCAGATAAACAGCCCACAGTGAGGGAAGACAGGAGGCCAATTGCATTAAAACAAACACTCACTATTTGTACACTCCAGCAGATAGGAAAGGGAGGACCTATATCTATGGGAGAATGAGTCAGTGAACTCACAAAAGCACCATTATCTGCATGTGTTCGTGTGTTTGTGTGTGCGTGGAGGCAAAAGACAGTTGGGATGGTGGGGGTTGCTGAAGAGGGGGGGGGGTGTTCAGAATACACAGCCGCTGAGCACATTTGCAGTATTCACTCATTAAGAAATAGGTCAAGGATTCTGCCTGCATGCGTAGCGACTTGTCAAAATCTCTCAAGCTAAACTGTGGTGAGTCTGGCTGCCTTAAGGGGGGAATCCATAGAGGAGCAAGCAGCGTGCTGTGTGAATGCTGGTGGTGACACAGCACACAGAAAAGCAGTAACAACTCATTCAGTGGTAAACCATGCGGTGAAAAAAAAATTTGTTCATAATGTCACCGTAGTTGTCGAGCGGAGAATGGAGCCCTGAATGGAGAGAGGCTGTGTGCTCACACTGTGGCCTGATTAATTAACTCGGCTCCTTGTTTGGGCTCTTTGCTCTTCATCAACAGAGGACGCTCTTGAGCCAGCAGAGTTTGTCGCAGATACTGATAGGTGCTGATGGTGGCAGCAGTCGCTGTGGCGACAGGCGAGCTCGCACAGAAGATTATGATGCTTTAGACTCTCTTCAAACGATCTATAGAGGACATCAGACGACCGGTTCCTCTTAAGAACATGAGAGAGGACACTCAGCCAACCAAAGCAACTGTAATTCCAAAAGTCAAGATGAATGTTTGGGGCTTGAGACTAAAAACAATTCTGACCAAAATGAATCGACGTATTCCAGCCTACGTTAACTGTACCAAGACTGAATATTTCCCCTGAGAAGAGTCCTCATACAAATCACTCTAGCATTAAAAATAAAAAGCACAGAATACCTTGCTGACCACATAGCATCACCATAAATCCAATCAAAATATTGCAGTCCCCTACAGAGAGGTGAAGTGGAGAAGCAGTGGCGGGGAAACATCAACAAAGCTCGATCTAACTTTGTCCAGTCGAAGCAATTTCTCTCCAGCTTGGTGAGGTTAACCTTATTGATTGGACGAATGTGTGATGTTGCGGTATTCGAAAGGCTTTCTTGGACGGCGTGCCTTCAAAGGCATTAGTTGAAAGTGATTCATTGAGCAGAATCCTTAACATCTCTGCTTTTGTCCTCTATTATTTAAAAAAAAAAAGAAAGATAACAGACAGGCTGCAATTTATTGCTTTCAGAATGGATTGAGGAGATCAACAGCAGGAATATTTTTAACAACATTTCTCCTTTATGATCTTCAAAGTAACCAGTTAGCAGCAATAAAATTGAGTCATAGCAGGTAACAATAGGCTCATAAATGGCAAAAAAAAAAGAAAGAAAGAGATGTGAGTCAAAGTGGAATAATAGATCTCTGTAACAGCTGCTGACAAGCCGACTGGTCAGAGGGACGGTGGCGGCTCCTCACTATCAGAGAATGTTTTTCCTTTTCTTCATTAGATTGGAGTTAATTAGGTGAATATAATCAGTATGTGATAATCAAACCAATGCTGAGTGCTGGTTTGTTCTTTCAAAGGCAGCAATTTCCACCCTGGTGGTTGCTTTGGGGTCAAACTGCTGTTTCGCTTTGAGATGGATATTAAAATAATTATGTGAGAGGGTCACGCTTCAGATGCACCAAAAATGTGATTTCACCAAGAAGGAGCGGGTTTTGATTGCACGGGCAGAAGGATTAATATGCTACCCGTCAGCCGTGGCAGATGTAAGTTATTTTCATGCAAATGTAAGGCAATTTTCTACTTAAGACAACATTTATTTTCTTTAGAGTTATTGTCATGGGTGCTTGCACTGGCAGTCTGACAGAGAATGAAGATTTGTAGGTGCATCTGCTGAATTGGACAGATGAGGTCTAGAGTCGGTCTGGAAACCTAAATTGATGGCAGTTGGCAACATTATACCAAATTGGAGTTTTTTTGTTTGTTACATTATGTTGAAATTTCAGTTTTTGATTTGACCTCTTGGGAGGATAACAAACACAACAGAAAAGAGCTTCTCAGAATTTAAATAATGTGAACCAGAGTGGCAACTTCATGAGACCAATTCACAGTTTATCTGCTTTGGTGGCAATAAAAAGTGAGATCTTCAACCATCTAAAATCCCTCCGACTACAGACTCATGGTTCACTTGTTGCAGTGGCACACAGGTCCAGGTCTGCACCGGCTGCCAGTCAGCATATTATATCCAAAAATGCTTTAGCTCAGAGTATTCTTTAAAAAAATACATGCAGAAGAGCATCCTTGTGTCACTTTTGAGCTCACAGTCAAGGTCAACAAATCCAAATCATCCCGACAGTCCAGCAGTGTGATGACTGCAAGCAACAGGACATGAAGACTCGGACAAAAAAAAAAAAAAACTAATCCAGCCAAGTTACTTCATTAAATACTGAAGAACAAGAGCTTACTTACACAACTCAGAGGAAGCTAATAAGCAAGAATGATGCAGAACCTGAAGTCTCCTCTCTGCAGAGCAGGTTGTAACTCAATTACTGTGGTGAATCAGGAGGCAGCTAAATCCTGATGAATGAACATAGAGCACAAATGGTAGTAAAGTATCCAGCAGCAGCAGCAGCCACTGTGTGTGAAGCCTGCTGGAGGTGGAGGACACCTCTAATGCAATGCTTGTGTGTGCACAAACAGTGCATTCTATTTCTCATCACACCTCAGCATTTAGGCGTTAAAGTGTGAGCCGTGGCCAGGATACAATGAAATACAGACAGAGGCAGCTACCTTATCAGAGGCTGCAGCCTGAAATGAAAAATGTCTCTCTTCAGTTGTCTCTCCGCAGTGTCGGAAATGAGCCCTTTTACAGAACAGGGTGTTTTTTTTTTTTAGTATGTAGCTCGCCTGACAGCAAATATTTGCATCCTGTAAAGCAGATTGAGCCCAAACGAGCGTGCTCATCACCACTCACTCACCTCCTCATTTAAACTGGATCTCCCGGTTATCCTGATGCCTCCAGCGCTGTCTTCTGGGCTTTAACTGATGCGCTAAGACTCACATCCACAGTCAGAATGTTTCCCCCAAAAAAACGAAAAATAAAAAAATCTATCAGGACAAAGTCTGCCTTCTCCGAGATTTTTCACATTCAATTCTTCTTCCAATTCCTCATCAAACAGCCTATCTGCTTGCGGAACCTGTTAAGCGGCGGCGTCATTCATTCAAGTATTCATTATGGCGAGTAATTGCGAATTCAGCGCGTAAACTTCGCCAGCAGAAGCTCCAACCATCCGATCTGACCTCCTAACGTTACTTTGCTACACCGTGTCAGTGAAATGGCACATTCCTTCAGTTCGGCATTCGGCGTCCTCCGGTTGCTGCTCGTGAAGGTTACGGAGAAGCCGTGGCCGGACTTGCCATCCTCCGCCCGGTTTGGTAATTTCACAGCGTCGGCTCAGACCCGCAGCGTGGCTCTCTCGCAGGGCTCTGCCGGACTCTCAGAGACTGGCGGCTCCATCAATGTACAGTAGTGTGTGTATGCTGCCGCTGGCACACTGCGCGTTTAAACCCAGCCCCCTCACACTCCGGCTCATTACGGTGTTAACTGTTTCCGCCCAGAGAGAAACAGTCAGAATAAATAAAAGAACGACGCTTTTAAGCACGACGCGCGAATTCACTAGAACAATATTTTTGGAGTATAATAAGGAAAAAAAATAAAAAATAAAAAAAAACAGAGAGAGAGAGAAGAGAGGAAAAAAGAAAAGAAATATTTCAAACACGAATGACTTTTTCCAAACACACGGCTGTGGTCAAGTTCCTCTAGTCCCACACATGCAAAATTACACTTTTTCCAAAATAAAATGGGGGAAAAAAAGCAATTTGCTGCCAAGTTTTCTAACTTAGGCTTCTGCATATGATTTGCAATTTGGGGGAAATTCATTATATAAAATGCCTGTTTTATACCAATTCAAATGTTATATCATTCTCTTTATAAATCATGGCAGCCGACCAAACTGCTAACATATTGATACAGTAGGATAGTGCATCACATTTAAGAGAAGAAACATTTTCTTACCTATCTCAGAATTTTGTCTTCGCAGCACTCACTGAACCCAGCCAGTGGCAGACTGTCATCCAGATCAGTTTCTGTTAGAACACTGCCATCTATAGACCAAACTGTGACCCTACTTCTGCCCAGATGCACCCCCCCCCTCTCTCTCTCTGTTCCTCCCTCTCTCTCCCTTTCTTGCCCCCTTGTATGATTTCTTCATTTTTGCCTCTCTGCTTCTCTGTTTTCACCAGCAGCTTTATATTTCCTTTTGGATTTGCCCTCCCTCCAACTATGTTTTTATTGCATCACTGACCAGTGGTGCTGAGCAGCTCTGGAATGTTCCAACTTCTGAGATACTAATCACAAAAACAAAGACTTTGCCTTAAATCCTTGAAGCTTTTCCTTAAAATGTACCGCAGCTTTAATGACAAAGCGCCTTACAGCTGGAGCTAAAAACATCAATCAGGGACCAAATACATTTTAAGTAGTTGTACATATAAGGCACATAGAAGCGGTTCTCTTCCTTTCAAATCTATAAAGAATAATGTTGCTTGGGCGTCTTCATTTCAATATGAAAGCAATCGACAAGTACTCGTCTATCATTACTGTAATTATTCACCATAGATGATACATTTTTGATCAATCACCTTAATATTGGCTGCCAAGCATCAATGTTTTGTCTTCTTTGCATTTCTTTGCTTGAGATTATCAACTGGATCCACTTAAACAATCCATGCATTTGTGTTTTTCTATCATAATAACATAATTAATTTGAAATGTTTATACAAGACATAAACACAAACCTCTTACCTTCTTGGATGTGCGCCCTTAGTGGGTTATGACAAAAAGTAGGCTATCCACATTCTCTGATGCATCAATAATGCAGAGTAGGGGAAAGGGAGCCAGTGTCTGCCATCAAAAGTATTGCAAAACTGCCAGGAGGAAGAAGATGTGGAACAACCAGTGTAAGTACACTAAAAGCACAGTGCCCACTTAAAGACAGGGTCAATAGCTGGAGGGTGTCCATATTGGAATTCCACCGCACTGCCTCTCAAATGGATCTTAGTCAACCCTGGGCGGCAGGGGTAATCAAATACAGACTTTTTCAATCCATTACTCATGGCCCTGTTTGGAACAAGCCGTGATTTGTTTGATTGGAACATAACTCAATTCATATCGAAAGAACAGGTCGCACAGAACTGTCTGGAAGAGGTTTTGCCTGTTTAGTGCAGGGAAAAATGATAGATTAACCCATTTTGAAAGGTGAAACTTGGTTATTACATACAGTATGATTCTATCAGTCATGTTTCACTTTAGGACACATATCGACTGAGTGAGCCTGGTTGCAGATTCTGGAACAGGGAAAAAGAAAAGACGAGAAAATAGAAGCATGTCTAGCTCAAATTATTAACACTTTAAAATAATTTTTTGAGAAATGCACCAACTGGCACTGCAGCTTATCTGATTCATTATATATAACATATTCTTTAATATCTTAAAATACCTTACATTTAATTTCACTATCCATCAACATGCACAAATATTATGTGGCGGACACATGTCAATATTTTCTCACCTGTGTATCATGCTCAGGTCTGTGCTTTTGTTCTTCCAAAACACCTTCATTCAATGCAAAAATACAGCAAATGCTTATCAATACACTCATAACTCCCAGATGCTGATGTCACAGTTCAGATTTGAACAGCCCAGGGCTGTGTCAAGATGATCCAGCTTCTCGGTGGTATCAGCTGCTTGCAGTCTTGGCACCTTTCCACCCCAGATCTGAAATCAAAGCAAACATCATTAGTCATTAGGGTGTAGCTAGATGGGAAAACCACTGGTCACTTTATATTTATGTTTACATTTGGAATCTGCCTTTAGTAGCCAGAGGTGAACTGAGAAACCCAGCAGAGTCAGAGCCCACACTGGGTGAGAAGGTTAATAGCTGAAAATATGACCATGTAATATGCAGTATCCACTGTTTATCTCTGGATGTAAGAGGCGGCCGGCTGCACGCAAAGAGTGGGGAGCCATGCTGCTGAGAACGTGTGATGGCAGATGCAGAGGGGTCATTTGTTGCAAAGCTTAATTGTTGGAAGATCAGTTCAGTGAGCAAATTAAATTGTGGTCAGGTGGAGGAGCGTGCACGTTGCGGGGAATGAAGCGCCCGGTGGTTATGTGGAGAGATGGCCGACTGTAGGGCCTCCGCTTGACCGTCTGCTGATCAAAGTGCTCACACGCAGTGATTTTATACTTAGCTGGAAGGTTTCAAAGGGGCCTCTTGTGATGCCTTTAATTCTCTCTCCCTCTAGCCATATTTGAAGATATCACGAGGGAATGTGGCATCCTGTCGACTCCACTGAAACTCCGTTCTCTCTCTTCTCTCACCCGTGTAAGCAATCTGCCTGACTGGAGATAAAAAAAACAACTACAGGGAAACAATTAGATGAAAAACTAAACTGTCAGTCTTGCGCATATGATGCCTTTTAATTGTGTTCCAAGGTTAAATGTCAGTTTTTAAATTTTCAGTTGTTAGGTTTTTTAAATGTTTAGCTGTATTTAATGCATGATGACAATGAGAAAACAACGGGTTTAAATGTAGCATTACCAAACATGCAGGCGCATAGCGTACACCCTCCATGAATACAAACATACATTATATTCCCATTTTCCCCTGCAGGTAATGACCAGAGAATATTTATTTTTACTCGTCATTGCAGAGCAGTAATAAGGAATTCACAATATGTGGCATATGTCTGGGAAGTCCATTATGGAAGTCCACCCCCACCGCTTGCTTCCCACCATCCACCTGTTAGTGGGTACCAGATACATACTCAAGAGGCTCTAGGGACTGCTGCAAGGTAATCAGCAAATGCACACATACACACTCTTGCACACAGAAACCACATGCGTACAGGTGGGCGATTACATCAGTAATGGCCCGCTGATGGAGCCTCGGCTACCATGTGGTGCTGATGGGCCAGTTTTCCTGCTCTACACCGAGGAGCAATATTTCACACAGGAACTTAGGGGAAGAGAAAAAGAAGCAAAATAAAAAATAAATTGGAACACCATCATGCTCAGTTCAAGCTTTAGTCAACAAATTGCAGCTATTTAGATTCTATGAGAGTGATCCTCTTGGTGAGCGTATTCTGAAGAGGTTTCATAGCGGTGATTATGCTTTCTGTCCCCTTTTCAGGGAAAACAACCCATCCTGAAGTTCAGTTGAAGATAATGTACCCAATCTGTGGCCCAAACGTGTGTCTTTCATTGGAGGATTTTCTTAAGCTTGTCAGGATTTGTCAATGGAAAAACAAAATTAAAACAGCAATTAATTTCCACAGAGATGCAATCACAGGAGACGTGGTAATTGCGAGCTGCTCTGATGTGTTTGCTGAGTGAGGCATTGTATAAAAATGTTTTTTTTATTATAATTATTTTGTCCTTGCTCGGAGGCATTCCGTGAGCTGCAGCCTTGTGCTGTAATCTCACAAATCAGACTTCAACAAATCATGGACTCAGATGCCATCAGTATGGAAACATGGCTCTTCAAAAATAGCAATAGAGAAAGCGAGAGAAGAAGAGAAAGTGGCAAAAGTACAGATGGCCCATCTTTCAACACATCAGTGCCACAATTGAGCTGTCAGAGAAGATGAATAATGATGATATAAAAAAACAATTAAGTACCTTGTGCCCACAGCACTAAGTAATTTACACTCCTATTTAACTGCAAGGTGAGCAAAATCCAAAATGGCCAACAAAAAAGGCAGCCTTCCAGTTAGTTGCACTGTTTATTGTCATGCATGCTTGCAACCACAGAGGTACGCATGGATGACTACAGGCGTGCACATACACACACACACAATGGAGGCTGGGAAGAGGATGGGAGAGAAAAAGAGCGAAAAGAGAGAGAAAACCAGTTCTCTTACAGTGCAAAGCGTTTTTCTTAGACAGTGGACTGTTTTAATAAGATGCCTATCAGAATTTGAATCTCAGGAAATTGCTGGCTATTTATTTTACTGGGGCTGCTCACTTTGCCTCGGCTCTTGATAAAGCATTTTGTTTTAATTAGACACATTTCCACACTCCACCAGGGATGACCTCTTATTATTGTGAAGTGGGCCTGCTTAGCAGAGCAAGCAGTCAGGAACAAGCTCCTCCGTGCATCTCAATCATTCCTCATCCATGCTCATCTCAGGGACCTGGGACCAAATCAAAGGAGTCACTATTAAGCAGAACCAAATTGTTTAACGCAGTAATCTCCTGCATATTTTTCATTCCTTCCCCATTTGCAATTGGAAATGAGACATGGTGAAAAATATGATGCATTGTTTTGCATACTAACAAGGGACCTTGGATATCCTTATCCTTCACGGTTATGGAGGATAGGATATGTTCTGCAA